AACAGAGTAACTCATTGTATATATGAGTATTTAAACGTGTCTGTCAGTTCCGTTGTCAGAATCGTGACTACTTGACCGAAAAATTGCCAAAGATCGGCAAAACCGAATTTACTCCAATTTTGAACATGCTCAGAATATCATGACTTGGTTAAGTCAAAATCTCAAAACACATGTATTTTAGTACATAATTTCAGGTTTTTGAGGTGAAGGACATGTAGTGGTGATATATCGATATGAAAAATAGGGTATGGTGATTTCACCCAATGTACTTAATGTTGGATTTAACCAGATTTAGATACCTTTGTGGGCAAATTTCATATGTAGTTTCGCCTAAACTCTTTGATAAGGGTCAAAATCAGAGAGGTGAGCATTATGCTTCTGTCAAGGTTTTTCCTAATAAAATAACATGATATTATTACTACATTAATTATTTTAAGATGTAGGTACTGTGCATAATTACTAGGCACTTAGAATATTTATTTTTTACAATAATGTTTTACTTGATTTTAAACAGAAAAAGACCGAAGTAGTCATTTCGGGAACGCGTCCTTATACCATCTTTCGTAGTTCAGACAAGTCAAAAATTACGAACTAAAACTGTCATATTTTTATATTAGCTTTTAAAATCATTAAATGATTAATACTATCATTATAATTTCTTCATATTTTGGCTATTCAAATGCTGTCTGACATTTATCAAATCATTACATGAACGCGGTTGGCGTTGGTCGATGTAATTAAAACAACAAACAACGGGTGGCGTTCATTATACAAAACACGGCGTGTGTGTATTTACGGAAAAAGAATTAATTTTTTTGGTAAATACTATTTAATTTGATATGATATGTGTGACGTACTTTAATTCCCTCTGTAACTACGGGAACGCTGTTTGATGATTAGTTTTTCGCAAATTTGCATATTTCTTTCAAAATAATGATAAATATTACAGCTCCCTTGTTCATAAACCCCAAAACCAATATCTAAAGTGGCGGAATTAGGGATGTTCGATACGATCCGATATTTAGAAGTATCGATACTTTTTTCTCCGATACCCGATATTTTGGATCGATATATTTATATACGATACTTGGGTGTATCGATACATTTCGCGGGTATCGTTATCTTTTGATCCGAACTGTATCAGAAAGAGTGGCTAACTTCAATTTACTTTCCTTCTTTAGGCAAATTTTTTTATCAAAGGTTCTGGTTGACCTTGAGTGACAGAAATCACACAAATGATCAAATGATAGAGATCAATGCATACAGAATTGCCAGAGCGTGACGAAAGATTTTTATACATAGTGGAAATTGGCCATTACGATTTTTCAGAATAAGCAATCCAAAAGAAAAACTGCTCTCAAATAAAAACTGAAACACAAAAAAATCCCTTTTCACCATGTGTGTCAAAATTATCTATTTTCCATGGTCTGGCAAATCAGTTTCTTCTTCGAATTTCGATGAGTTCCTGTTTCCTGTTAGTGTCATATGTCTGTTACATATTTCAAACAAAGTGTTGCAGCATCAGATCAGTTAAGAAAAGCGCAGCAGCATCAAAACGCCCTTAGACTAATTCAATCAGTGCCAACCAGATGGAATTCAAAATATTTTATGTTAGGGCGATTTGTTAAACTCCATGAATATGTGGCTGCTATTTTAATAAGAAATCCCAAGTCTCCAGAAATGTTAAGTGCTTTAGAATTGGAAACAGAAAAAGAGGTTTTAAAGTATTTTAGCCCCAGTAGGGGCAGTTTCTAGAGAGATGTGTGAGGAGAAATATTTAACCTGCAGTAAAGTCATACCCATTGTAAATTGCCTCTTGAAAAAAATAGAAAATTTTACTCCATCAACAACAGAGGCTTTAGCTCTTAAAACACTAACACTCGAGGAACTTTTAAAACGTTTTGGGAGCATCGAGCAAATGAAACTTTTAGCTGTCCGAAATATCCTAGACCCTCGTTTTAAACGATTGCACTTCAACAGTCCAATTTCTTGTGCTAATGCAGTCACCTTCCTGAATCAATCATTTCAGTTGCGACAGAAAAGGCAGGGCAAAATCAAATTATTATTCTTGACTAATCTGACAGTGTTTGGGTCCACCATGAAAAACTAACCCAAAATCATACAGATAAATATGATGATACCAAATCAGATAGTGACCTTGAGCTAAAAATGTATTTCAATAGTCCTACTATACCCCTAAACTCGGATCCCTTTTTGTACTGGAATAACTCAAGTTCTTCTTCAGAACTGGCTGATAAATATCTCTCTGTTGTTGGCACATCAGTTCCCTCAGAGACACTCTTTTCTGAAGCCGGAAATATACTCTACCAAACCCGAAACAGATTATCTGGTGATCGAATGTCAAATTATTCTTACATTCGCTGAGTGCTGAAGAATGGTATTATTCGATTTCGAACTTCGAGTTATTTGTAGTATTGTTTTTAATACCCTATGTTTATATATTTTATGTTAATAATAAATAAATAATCGTTTTGTAATGAATTTCTTAGTATTTATTTTTTACCTTTTTTTTGTGAACTTATTTGACAATCGACACGCAGTTGAAAAAAGTGACGTTATTTAGAGGGTTGTAAAAAAGCACCTTTGTTTTTCGGCAGTGTATAGTGTATGCCCCGTATCGATACTCATGGGATCGATATTTTTATTCCGATATTTTAATGGATCGATACTCCTTTAAACGATACTTGGTAGCGATATTTTACGTGTTTACGTGGATCGGAACATCGCTAGCGCGGCATCAAGCGTGACATTAAATTGTTCATCGAATAGTCATTTTGGGAACGGTCATTTCGTGAACGTCCTCTTCTATGACGGGCGTTCCCGACATGACTGCAACAAGATGATACCCTAACTTGTTTAAACAGCATACCTATAATAAATTTTGGTTTTAAGTATCTATTAAGTACAAGTAACATGGAACACAGTAAAAATGAGGAGAAAGATATTTCGAAAATACGATTAAAACAGGCTAGTATAGCTTATAAATGGCATAGTGAAAATGCTAATGCAAGGAAACGCAAGTCTTTAGATAACATGACACCAGAACAAAAAGAAATGAAGAGACTGAAAGATAGGGAATATTGCCAAAGAAAGAAAGCTGACGAGAAAGTTAAGACTGGTAGTAAAGAAGAACTTGAAGGCAAAAAGAGAACTGAAAGATAATTTAAAAGAAACTGACATAATGATTCAAATTGATTTCGCTGAAAATTACATGATAAAAGACGGAAAAGAGATTCAATCAATTAGATGAGGAGCTTCAAAAACGATACGTCTCTACAAACTGTTTCATTTGACACTGTGGGTAATAATTTAAACCATCAGGTTCATGCTGTATGGGGTCACAGAAAATATTAGGTACCAGGCCTCACGTAAATACCTTTCACGTGTTTTCAGATGGACCCAAATTCCAGTATAGAAACCGCTGTAATATTTACTTATGGATTAAAACCCATAATCCGCAAATAACTGCTTCAACGTGGACATTCAGTGAATCAGGTCATGATAGGTGGCCAATGAATGGTGCTAAAAAAACTACTTATACCCAAGTACTACGAGGAAACGGTGCCAATACATCTGCAGATTTTGTGCGTTTACTAACAAATTCAACTATTTTACTCCATGAAGTCACGGACGATGAAATAGTTGCAAAAAAGACATAATACCTGAAAACATAGATGCTATGACCGAAACCATGAATGTAACTAAGATTGTTTGGCAGAATGCTTCTGATGTGTCCAGTGTATCAATTTTCAAAACTATTGCGAGAAATTAAACTGCTGTCATTTCCAGTTGAAGTTAGAGGAATCTTTTCAAGTCAAGCGCCGTCCGAAATGATAGATTTAAAAATACATCAAGAGTTTCTGAGTCCTATTCATATCAATAGAGAAAGCATTTACGTTGCCGTATACGGACCAGACACCTCAGATGTTGAGAATCTCCAAACGGTTTCAGATCGGCTTCATGAAAAGAATGACGATATTGATGCTGGTACATCGTACGGAGAAGGCAAGGAGAAATTGCATCCAAACTTGATACATCCAAAGACGTATTCGAAAAGTAATGTGGTTACAGTTGATAATCCTGATTCTTTTTATATTAATTTTACGTCTTTTTGTTTTTTCTTTGCAATTACCATATTCGTTATTTTGTTAGACTTAAGTTCAAACTTTGAGACCCAAGTTACTTTGTGATATTATGCAATTATACATGTAGTAGGTAATAATGTTTCTAATGCCTAATATCTATTTATTTTAAAACTACAGAGTTTATTAGTATTACATTTTAAGTTTGAATGTTAATACATTCCTCATCCCTCAGTACAAATAAAGGTATAATATGAAAAGGTTTATTTTATTTTAATGCATAAATTATGTCAAAAAGCAGGTGTTGCGTTGATTCAAAGAACGTCAACGTCATTTAGAGAACTTTGGGCTTTGGTATTTATATTATTACTATACCACGTAGTGCAAGAATGTATAAAATAAATCGAAGTTTTGGAGCAGAATTTGCACCAATTGAAGATTTATGGACAGTAATTTGAAAAATAAGTGTTTTGATTATGAAAAATTACAAAATAATAACATTTTCCGATTTAGGGGCAGGTTTATTGCAATTGACTGAAGGTGATTCTTAAATAAGTTAGTTATATTATTATTTAGACTACGTTTAAAAGTGTTCGCGAAACGACTCACGACTCTGGGATAATTCTTATTAACAGGTAGAATTTCCAAAATACATATTTTTGTGCGTGCATCGTCATGGAAAATATTCCTGATAAATGGCACAACAGACTGTTAGTTTTCTTCAAAAGGAAACTTAGTTGATCAGATATTTGAAAACCTAAAATGCTAACCTCTCTGATTTTGACCCATAAACATTACTATAAAACTGAATACTTTAAAAATGGCTTAAGCTTTTTTAAGTCTATGTTTCTGGTGCAGTTTAGACAGTGGTAATCATTAAAAAAACATAATACTTACGAATGGTGGTGGTGTCCATATGACCCGTGATGATCTGTGTACGAATGATCATCATAATACTTTTTAACAATCTTGGTGCTTTCCATCATTTTTTCTGTCACTGGATTCATCGCATCATTTACACTTCCACTATTCATCAATGAATTGACCAGTGGCGCTATTCCAGATGTCATATTGTTTTGTAGACGAAACTCTGACTACTTGATGCCATTTACCAGAAACAACAGAAGAGGTATTAAGGTCTTTGCTTGAAATAAGTACTCGAGATACAGTTTTGTCTTAATTGTTACGTATGTAGCACGCAACTGTCACATCGTAGTGTAATTATTTATAAGCCGACACGGATATAAACTTGATATCAAGAAGCTGGAAAATGCATGTTTCGCTGGGTTCTTGTGGTTTGTTGTCGAATCTCAAATAAAGATTCTGGTTGTCAACGTAGAATTACACTCACACTCACACATAAGGCAGGCAGCAGCTCCCACGCTGGCAGGAGTACGTACCAAGATGCTTGATGTCTCCCGATGAACTGGAGAGATCAAGACGATCCCGCTCTCACGAGAGTTATCACTGCTTGGAGACGCAACAGTCTGGTACAGTTGAATGTTTCTAAAACACAGTACTTCAACTTGACTACAGAAAGCGTCCTAGCGTTGATCTGGTTTCGATAGATGGCCGAGTTCTACCAAAGAGCTGTTCACTTCGGCTGGTCGGAGTCCAGATTACCGAGAACTAGATCGGATACGAACAATTTTCGCGAATCGCGGCCGCTTCTGGGAAAAGGACTAAGAAGGACTCTTCTCCACAACATCCTCAATTTGTTAGAGACCCAGATAAGACCTAGCCTCGAGTACTACTCCCATGTTTGGGATGTTGCCGTTCTGACTATGCTTGTAGAACTCCATGCTGTTCAGAGAGGGGTTATCCGGCTAATCGATGACATTTCTCTAACGGATAGTCTCGGGCCCCCTTCATACCAATGGTCTTTAGGCAATCTGATTCTCTTTTACCGTTACCTGCTTTTCTCCTCAGAGCTCTCCTCCATATTGTCGCCGCACGTTGAAGTTGCCATACAGATCCGTCAAGCTGTTGTCTTCCATCATAACTCTGTCGAACTTCCTACATCCAGAACTTGCCGGTACGACCGCACCTTTGTTCATAGTGTGGCGATATTGTAAAACAATCTGTCGGAGGAGGCTTCTCCCAGGCCCCAGAGTGCATCCAAACTTTGTATTTCGGTACTTCTCAAGTTTCTCGTAATTTTTAAGCATAGTCAAAAAATGTTGGGTGGGTCAAGAGTTTTTTAATTTTCAGACTGTGCTCATTTTACGATTTGATTAGAACATTTTTAGGCAGTCAAATTTTTAAATTGGGTAATCCTCATATTCAAGGCCATATATGGCTTTTCCTTAACGCCGCTCCTGAGGAGTATTAGAGAATGTCGCCTAATATTGGACAGTTGCCTAATTTTCGATACTGCATTATCCCAAAGCGTATTGGCAGTTTGCTGTAATTGAGTTCACAAAACAAAAGTTTTCTAAAATAAAATGATCATGTGTAAGGCATATACGAGCCCCTTCCCACATCAGTTGGCCCAACTATTGAAATCTTAGTTTTTTTCTTATCAAACACAAATAATAAAAACGTAGCAGGGTATTATAGGTTTAAAATACTAACAATGAATATTTTGATAATATAGGGTGACTTCGAAGTTGAGTCATTTATTTTAACAGTGAGTAGATCAGATCAAAAGAAATGTTTTTTTCCTTTACCATTTTTCTGGTAAAATTAAAGTAACAAAGTTATAGCCCTTTGGAAGTTTGAGTACCGCCCTGTCTCAATAATAATATTATGTGCTCGTGTTTGGCAACAACGGATATAATCCGCCTTATCGGTTCATCGCATCGGAAACAAAAAAGCGAAAGAATTTGGAACGATGTTCTTACAATTATTTTATTCAGTTATATACAGTCAGTGTCAGTCGGTAACGCGTGAGTGAATAGTGGTGTCTGTTGCGGATCGGTTTCCCAATCGAGTGCAACCAACCCCTCGTGCCTTTGTTAATGTAGTACAACGGGCTCGTGAATCAGGTGACTTAAGACCTCACAGGGGACGGCATGCCGGTGCTCCAAGACCTCACGATCAAATACAGGTCCGCACTGAAATACTTGTCGGGAGGATACTTTATAAAACAAGGTAAAATTTTTTTTTATTATTTTTTTTTATTTTTACACACATATTTTGGTTTATCTTCCTTCTACAATCATTATCTGAAAATTAATGACTCAACTTCAAAGTCACCCTGTATAGTAGAAAACACCAACTCTATCACTCCCTAATCAAATTTGCTGCATAAAAATAACACATGTTGCAATTACAGCATATCAACCTAGTTTCATTTCAATGCGAAATAAGTCTATAACGCATAGGTGGCTGTGAAAAATAAAATCTATGACAATTGTTTTTATTAATCACAGCTGTCAGAATACGTTTAAAATAGTTTTGGGTAGTTAGGGTTTTCAAAATGGGTACAGGAAAGGTTATTAGTGAGAAAATTCGGTTACTGATAATTAAATTTTTTAATTCTGGGAAATCAAACTCAGAAATTGCAACTTTGTTAGACTTATCGCGATATAGTGTGAGAAATATTGTTAGAAGATATAACGTAACTGGTTCAGTTAATATTAAGCCACGATATGTGAAAAAAAGTAATATCACAAATGCCGACCGAAGAGCATTAAGAAGAATAATCGTGATAAACAGGCGTGCGAATTATTTACAATTAAGTGCTCTGTGGAGTGGCGCTGTTGGAAGGAGAATTTCGAGGTCCACAACTCATAGAGAGGCCCACAAACTGGGATTTAGCACTTGCAAGGTATGTTTTCTTATAAAAAAAGTGAAGTAAAGACCCTAAAGTTGCACAACATGTTTATAGGCCAAAGAAAAGCCACTATTAACTCCACTGCATAAGAAGAATCGGTTTAGATGGGCTAAAGAACATAGACAATGGACACCTCAACAATGATGTGCAATACAATGGAGTGATAAGGCCCGATTCGAAGTTTGTGTTGGTGACAGTCGCAGTAGAGTTATTCGCAAAAAAAATGAAGCATTCCCTGTTGACTGTCTGAAGAGAAAAGTGAAATTTCCAGCATCCATTATGGTCTGGGGCAGTATGTCATCAAAAGGAGTAGGAAAACGTCATTTTATTGATGGAAACGTGGATACAAACAAATATTTGGCAATTTTAGAAGAATCTCTTTTACCAGTGATGGAAGAATGTTTGACATCCGGCCAAGATTTTGTGTTTCAGCAAGATGGTGCAGCGTGCCATACCTCAAAAAAGGCTATACAATGGATGGAAGAAAATAATGTACCACTTTTGAAATGGGTTTCTAGCAGTCCAGATCTGTCACCTATTGAAACTTTGTGGCACGAGATGAAAAAGGTTCTACGACAACATCCTGCTCGTACAATCACCGAACTGAGACAAAAGCTTCTAGAAATATGGGATTGTTTTACACCAAATTTTTGCCAAAACCTGGTTAACATTATGCACGAAAGAATTTCAGCCGTAATAAAAAATAAAGGTGATGTTACCCAATGGTAATCTTTCAATTGTTGCTTTGTTAACTTCGCGCATTTATTCGCACATTGTTTATTTGTTCAGATGTTCTATTAGTTATAGGTCTAAGTGATTTCAAATATGTATTTTTTACGACTAGAGCGTATCTAAAATGTTTTTGAAAAAATAAATTGTTTTAGAAGTAAATAGTTTCGTCATGTTTAGTTTATAAAGGCATATTTTGGTATAAATCTTGAAGTGGGCAAACTGCAGTGGGAAGGGGCTCGTACTCGTACTTCAGTTGTGCACTACTAAATGGTGCCATATAATTACCTGTTTATTCGGCACGCAGAGTTTTTCGTTTCTGTCATACTCGTAGAAAGGTAAGTATTGTAAGTACTCGTATGTAATTGAAATTTGGCATGAATGTAGAATATTTTTAGAATCAGCCCAAGTAGTTGAATCGAACATTCCTGTCAAAGGTGGCAGAGACGGACCCGTACCTTGCCCTGCGAGATCTCCTGATTTGAACCCCCTGGATTTCTTTTTGTGGGGCGCTTTTAAACAACTAGTGTATGCTGGACATATTAATACTGTTGATCAGTTACAAGAAAGAATAGATAATGTGTTTCATCATATTCAAGCCATAACAAATTTTGCGGAATTACGTTTTTCTTTCCGCACTTGTATCCGTCAGAATGGTGGACTTTTTGAAAATTTATTGAAATAAAGCTTTGATTATCTAATTTGTTTTTTTTTATTTTCACGAAAGCAATGCACTCTATGAAAAAACACAAGAGTAATAATTTGTAGTAAATTGGAGGCAAAATTCGAAAAATTGAGCGTTTCGGAAAATAACAGTGGCGCACTATTTATAATTTGGAAAAAAATGCCACTAATCCCCTGTATCGCATACCAAATTTTAGTTGATTCCAGTTGACGGTTTTGAAGATAAAAAAAATGTTTTTTTATACTTCAACACCTCGAGGAACAATTTTTTACATAGGAGACCCCCTGTAAAATAATATTTCATTTTTGATTACGACTTGTGCATCACCCTATATATGTGGCGCTTTTTCATTGTTTTCGTCTATATTTAATACTGCTATTGCCTTATTTATTTATTTATTTATTTTATACCGTTAGAAACTTTTTATTACGAACATTCCTGATTTTTCCAGTTTGTCTTTTTAAAAGTGTTAATTGTATTACTTACCTTTTATTGCAATAATTGTTACACCACCAGACACATTGTATATGAAATTTGTAATTTTGTCTGTACGTAAAAGCGTTAAGAGCAAGAATAGCTGACGGCTAAACTTCGACCTAATGAAGACCAGTTATTATTATTATGATTATTATTAGATATTATTATTATTAAGATTATTTTTATTATTATTATTATTATTATGTTCCTGCCAGACAAACCCGCCTGACTTCAGCCTCCTATGCTAACCGGGTCGAACTTCGTACATGCAGAACTGGTCAATACGACCATTTCTTTGTCCGTAGAGTATCGAGATTGTGGAACAAACTGCCCGAGGAGGCCTTCCCACTTCAACTAACCTTAGGCGGTTCAAAAATTGAATTAACACGTGTCTTTAAGTTTCTAGCGGCAGCCGCGGTGCTCCAGTATTTAGGCTTCTTCCTACGCGGCTGCTTCGGTATAAAAAACTGTACATATATGAACGACAAAATAAAACGTAGCATTAGGCGTCTTCTAATCAATGGTAAAATAAATGTTTATTTGTAAATGACCTATTCCATGCTAATTAGGACAGGGCAGATATACAGTAATGGACAAAAGTATATAGACAAATTAATATTGTGCTGTATTTCTTTTTTAACTTGTTTTTTCTTTGGGATTCAATCGCAAGTGTTGACAAAAACAAAACTCTTAACATAAGATTTTTAGGTATCTATGAGACCTACAAAATGAGACCACACGTAAAAAGATCCGACTAATAGCAAAAATGTTATGGCCGAAAACACAGGAAAATTGCATGTTTTGGCACTTGGTAATGCGACGATGATTTCTCGCAGATATTTGAAATTCTTTAAATCCGGAGGATTCGTACTACTGAATAACCACAACAAAATTGGAATATATTGGTCGAGTAGTTTTTGTGAATTCCTAATGTTTATCCCAAAACACCTATATTCGGGCCATCACTACTAATTTATTTATATAGGATATTTTATTGTAAAATACACTCGCAAAAACTGGAACTATGAAGGACAAAAATATATAGACAAAGCAAAACGATTATAGAAAAAAGAAGCAAAGTTCATTGAATTATAGAAAACCAACCATGTTTGTGTTAATATTTTGTAGCATAACCATTATTATCAATCACCGCCTGGCATCGTCTCGGCATAGATTGTAGAAGTTTCTTGATATAAGATTCATCAATCTGTCTCCTCTTTTGCCCTAAAGCGGCAAAAAGCTCATCCTTGTTTCAATAATTTTTATCCCGTATTTGCTTATCTAAGTATTCCCATAGATTTTCAATGGGGTTTATATCGGGAGACTGTGAAGGTCATTTGAGAACTGGAATTTTTTCATCCAGAAAGAATTTCTTTGCGAGATTTGAAGTGTGCTTCGGGTTATTATCTTGCTGGAAGATTGATCTTAAGGGCGTATTGTCTTCCATATAGGGGAACATGACTGGTTCCGAATCGATGGATCCCATGGCCAGCACGCAGTCCCGATCTCACACCTGTGGACTTTTTTGTGTGGAGTCGCATGAAAACTTTAGTATACTCTGATCAAAATCCTGTACCCACAATAGAAGACCTCAGAAGCAGGATAATACATGCAGCACAAGAAATTCAAGCCTCTCTTAGGAATTCGGCGGTAGTAAAATCAGCTGTCATGAGAAGAGCACGTGTGTGCATTAGAAATAGAGGGCGCCATATCGAAAATGTATTATAAGAATAAAAAAATGTAGTTTCAAACAAATTATCCTGTATTAAAGTATGATTTTGTAAGGGTAGTATCTTTATTGCTTTTTCCTTCCTCCTCTTATAATAGTCATATTTTTGCCAATTCTTAATCGATTTGTGATTTTTATACCTAATTTGAAAGGTAATGAAACGTAGATATGTTCTAATTATTTTGTACGAAAAATTTGTATGCGACTTTTTCTAGTAAACTGAAGCTTTTGAGATGAACGAACATTTTTTTAACAAAAATCGAATTATTTTGAAGCTTACTGCATGAGATAACGTCAATAACACTGATCAACAGCCAAAAAATATCCTAAATAAAATCAACAAAATATTACTATTTTTAATGTGCTAAAACCGGAATGAAACTTATTTTTTCAATATTAGTTCAAGGTTTAGAGATACGGTAATTATATGTGTTCCTGCTGTGACAGTGTTAATATACTGTAATTCACAAGAATGTACGTGCTACATTTTTATATTCGGCAAGGAAAGATGATGTAATAGGCATGATTGTGTTACGTTATACATACGTGTACATTATATTGTTTTATATTAGCCATTTTTCCTCAGTTGGCTGACAGCGTTCATGCAAGATGTCTCGAAAGTGTGTAAACAATCCAGATCAGTTTTGTTACGTGTGTGGTGATGTGACTTTTGCGTCTCAGAGTCGGTCTATTACTCCACTAATAACAAAGGCATATCAGCTTTATTTCGGTTGTAAACTAGGTGATCAAGACAAACAGTGGGCACCCCACATCTGCTGTAATACATGTGCTTCAAGTCTGAGGAGCTGGTTAAATGGCAAAAAACGGTCTATGCGCTTTGCTGTCCCAATGGTTTGGAGAGAACAAATCATATTAATGATTGTTACTTTTGCATGGTACCTTGTGTTGGACAAGCCACAGGTATGTCCAAGAAAAAAAAATCGGTTATTAACTACCCAAACATACCATCTGCGATGAGACCTGTGCCTCACAGTGACGAAAATCCTATTCCAAAAACCCCCAGAATCCTACACTTGCGAATCAGAAAACGAATCAGATCATGGCGATCGAGTGATTCGTCAGGAAGAAGATATGCCATCAACGTCAAGAGATCCTGATTTTATACCGAGCACGTCATGCCACCAACCGCACAAAATAACACAGTCAGAATTAAATGATCTTGTAAGAGATTTAGAACTTCCAAAATGTAAGGCAGAGTTACTTGGATCAAGACTGCAGCAGTGGAACTTGTTAGAAGACGATGTTTCGGTATGTGTTTTTCGTAAACGCCACAAAGACTTAGAACCATTTTTCAATATGGAGAATAACTTGGTTTTCTGCAGTAACATTAACAGCTTACTGGCGGCTTTAAATATAAACTATAACCCAGAAGAATGGAGATTGTTTATAGACAGTTCAACATTGAGTTTAAAGGCAGTGTTATTGCATATTGGAAATATTTTACCATCTCTTCCTGTAGGGTATGCAGTTCACTTCAAAGAATCATATGACAATATGAAGTACCTATTGACATGCATAAAATATGATGAGCACCAATGGCATATTTGTGGCGATTTGAAAGTTGTTGCACTTTTACTTGGGCTGCAGCTAGGCTGCTGTTTTTTGTGTTATGGGACTGTCGGGCAAAGGCACTTCATTACACCAGACAAAACTGGCCTGTTCGTCAATTCCTAGAGCCAGGTCAAAAAAATGTACAGCATATGCCATTAGTAGATTCGAAAAAAAATTTATTACCACCACTGCATATAAAGTTGGGCCTAATGAAAAACTTTGTCAAGGCATTAGATAGAGATGGGTTCAATACCTGCGTCAGAAATTTCCAAGACTAAGTGAGGCAAAGGTTAAAGAAGGTATTTTTGTTGGGCCAAAGATTCGAAATATTTTGAAAGATACACAGTTTGAAAACACTTTAACAGGTATTGAAAAAACTGCTTGGAATGATTTCCGTCTGGTGGTCACTAATTTCTTGAGAAATAGAAAAGCTGACAACTATAAAACCCTTGTCAAAAATATGCTGTCATCGTATCAAAAGATGGGCTGTAATATGTCTCTTAAGATACATTTCCTACACTCACACCTGGACTTTTTTCCTGACAATTGTGGAGCCGTAAGTGATGAGCACGGCGAACGTTGTCATCAGGATATTTCAACAATGGAAAAAAGGTACCAGGGAAAGTGGAATCCTTCCATGCTTGCAGACTACTGTTGGACTCTTGGTAGAGATGCTCCAGAAATGATCCATAAAAGAACAGCAAAAAGACAGCGCATATAGTGATTCTTATAAGTATATGAATCTTGTTACTTTTTTTAATATATCCTTAAAAATAAAAAGTTTTTTTTCTAAACCGCAACTAATTTTTTATTGCATTGACATTTTTGGATTCAGCGCCCCAAAATTAACAAAGAAGTGCACTTTTCCCACAAGATACAATTAAAAAACTAAAATTTGTTGTCCAGTGTAATGTACACTTGAGTATCAATTTTCGTATTTTAGAATATTTTTATTGTAAAACCAAAAAAAAATCAAATGAAGCACCCAAATCTTCAAGTTTTATGACTTGGTTAACGTATAAAGGACGTTAATTTTAAAAATCTTAAAAATTAGCATAATTCGGAAACGGTGAATTTTCGGACAGTAGTTCCTATAGTAAAATCGTCTCAGATTGGCTTGTACTATCTCCCCCCACCGGCTCCGCATCTATTTTCCCGTCACCCTATGTACTTTTGTCCATTCCTGTACATAACTCTTCTTTTTTGTGGCAAAAACGTGTAGGATATTGTTTACGATTTCTGACTATATTACATAGTAGATGTGCCAATTCAAATTACTGAACCACCGCAACAAGTTTAAGTTTCACCCGAACGTACTAAGTGCCATGATTCCCACTTAAAATCAAAGTTGCTCGACCGTACTAAACCCATCTGGTTGCACCCCTCAGCCAATTAACACGAACGTATTTTTAATCCCACCCACACCCGAACAGGAGACATTCCCATTGGCTTGTCACACGAAATCGTCGGATGTAAATGAGACAAGATCTCATCGGCTCTCAACTAATTGCTTTAGCAAGTTAGTCCGTTAAAAATCCCAATCTCGACGAGCGATGTCGCGATATCCAGAAATGTTCGTTTTTCCCGACAACATCAAATCAGAGGAAGCCATGACCAACGACTGCTATGACACCCTTCAGTTGGGCTACCAAAATCCGTGCTATTACGAGTACGCAGGACAAGAACCATCACACATTCAAGGCGTCACCGAGATTTATCCTTCTTACTTCAACGTTCACCAGGAGTACCTTTACTATGATCCGAGGAACTGTGAATACCTCCAGCGAAGTTTGGCTGATAGGAGTTTTAAAGGTGAACAGTTCGCGTGTGGAGTTGTGATGGACGGGTTAGATGCCTCAAGAGAGTGTGAAGAGCCCTGCCAGGGTAGTTCGCAACAAGCGACTTTGAAGGGCAAAGGTTTTGCTCGTGAAGATGCCGGTGCCGGCTCAAGATCTAAAGTGATGCTGTGCGATGGACTCGAGACAGGAGAGGGTCTTATTAAAAATTCAAGATATAGTCAAGGTAAAGCATTATTATAACGTATCATATTGACAGAAAAAAAAGAAATATGCGTATAGCATTTAACTTACAGCTAGAAGAACATTTATAAAAAGTTATTGTTACAAATTCTTATACACGTACTACGAAAAGGATAAACAACGTATAAAAATCTTACATGGAAAATAGACAAATCTTATGAATTTTTGGAATGATGTTACACCAATGTCCCAATTTGGTCCTACATTGAAACTGTCATTTGGAAGACGAATCTAAGATGCGTTAACTTCCAACTTTTTTTAAGGCAAATTGGCAAACGTACAACATAATATAACAGGTAGTCACAAAAAGTTACATTATTCAAGAAAATTAGCAATAATTAAGTAAAAATGTCCAGTAGTTTTTATCAAACACAATATCCTTATTTACAGGACTGGGTGTTTGTAGCAGTTCGAGGAATAGCGAAGGTAGGACAAGAATTGTTTTTATCATTATATCGTATCACATTGACCAAAAAAACTAAATATAGGTACGTATAGCTAAGAGAGCATTTATAAAAAGTTATTCTTCCAAATTCTCACACGTGCCAGGCGATACGGATCAACATGGTATTAAAATGGAAAGTCGAGAAACCTTATTAACTTTCGCAATGATCTGACAATGTCTCAATTTCTTCTCATATTTGGAAGACCAATCAAAGATGCATTAACTTACAACTGTTTTATAAGACGAATTGGCGAAGGTACGACAGAAAATAAGAGGTTACCATAAAAATTACAAAAAAAGAGTCGATATTCAAAAAAATTAGCATTAATTACGTAAGAATTTGAGCTAGTTTATATCAAACTCAATATCTTTAATTTTATACTATTTTTTTATCTTAAACCTCCTGGGTCACAGAATCATATTTCACTTAATCCTAATTGCTCCCCAACAAAGTGATATATGCGAGACCGGTCTCATTTTATAGGTATCAGAAAACTGAACAAAATATGTCTTCATAACAGCGCTAATAAACGCGAAGATAAGAAGAGAAAATTACAGTCACAAAAAGTCATTTGCAAAATATTAAAACTGTGCATTGATCCTTTCATTACGTTTTTATTTTCATTCACGGTATACATTAACACGTGGTGGTGTAATTTTTTTAACATTTTCTGTTTGATATCACTGAAATTCATTCTGTCTGACTGGCTACCTGTTAGCATTTTTATCAAGGCGTAATCTCTGTAAGTGCAGTTTTTTACTTCGCATCTCTCTTTTTTTCAACAACTTGTCTGGAGGAGAATTCTTAATAATTTCCGTCTAATTGTATAATGGTGTGTATAGAGATGACTGAAAAGCAATGCCATCAGTTTATTTTTTGTCAAAAATTTAATTTTTTGTGCATTCGTTATGCATTTTTGTTCAATCGTAACTTGTTAAATAATAGTACAGCTGTAAAATAGTAGATATGTGAATATTCCATTTTCTTTTCAAAAAAAAAACAAATTTCTTGAAAACTGAATTTGCTGCAACATGAAGTTTCCAGTAAATGAAAGAAGAGATAAGAATAAAACTAATTACCCGCTCAATCCTGCTATAAAAGTGAAATTTTGACATATAATTTCAGAGCTGTGCTAATAGTCTTCCACAAGTTACGACTAAAGAGAAAATGCACAATAATGCATTTTTTTATCCAAAAAATTTATAACAGCTTTTTACTCATATATACATACACATTAGTCTAATCATATCAGACGAAAATACCCCTGGTTAGCGAAATAACTGTAAAGTCTAGTTTTATTTCTGCAAGTTGTTCACGGGGGTATTCAAAACATGGACGCATAAAATCAGTACACCAACTTTTGTGGGAAAACTTTTTATGCGACAACAAAGAATGAGAAAACGTGTTTTTTGGGATTCAATCGAAAGTGTTGACAAAAACAAAACTCTTAATATAAGATTTTTAGGTATCTATGAGACCTACAAAATGAGACCACACGTAAAAAGATCCGACTAATAGCAAAAATGTTATGGCCGAAAACCAAGGAAAATTGCAAGTTTTGGCACTTGTTGGTAATGCGACGATGATTTCTCGCAGATATTTGAAATTCTTCAAATCCGGAGGATTGGTACTTCTGAGTAACCACAACAAAATTGGAATATATTAAAATAGTACAATAAGCGAGTTCGTTTATTAATTATAACATAAACGTATGTTCTACAATAATTTCACTTTTAGTTTGATTAAATTTCGCTTCTTATACGTTTAAGTTATCTAAAAATAGGCAAAAAATTAACGAATTTTAGTGTGTTCCTATCCTTGAATTTTCAGAATAATTTAAAAAAAAATATTTTCTATAAAGGGGGGTTCTTTAAAAAAATCAATGCGGGCACTTATTCCCAATGCGGGCATTCATTGGTCAGACACCAATAAACATAAAATAAACTATAAATAAAATAACATAAGCAATAAGTCAATATTTTCAACATTTGGCGTCAATTTTGTAAGGGTTAATCTTAAATCTCCTCGGCTAATGATGTCCAGTCTGTTTCTTTTTTTCGTTATGGGATTGGTAACAGCGCTGAACCCCCTTTCCACTAGGTAAGCCTATGGGAAGGAATTTAAAATTTCCTCGCTATATTCCATAATACGGGATAAGTAACGGGTATGTTGTTTTGCAGCCAGAATTGCTGATATCCGTTTTTAAACTGAACCTTAAGTTCTTCGTTTGTACTTAGTTCAGTCAGTTCCTCTTGTATTATGACATTCGTTTCTTCTATGTCACCATATGGATTAATTATCCACGGTGGTATTACCATAGTCAAAATATCCTCAAACCTACATTCAAAATCTGTATAGAGGGCATTTAAATGTTGAACGTAAGTTGAGACGTCGTCTTCCTGGCAGCTTGTCTGTGACAAATTGGGGAACTGAGAAAATTCTCCCCGTCCAATATTTTGCTTCATTAGTTTAACTCTGGCAAGAAACGCTGATAAGATGGACTTTGTTTTAATCAAATTTAAACTGTCGCCTTGTAATTGCAAATTAACCATATTAAATTTTGTAAACAAATCTGTTAAATAGGCGATGTCTGTCTTCCTCTTCTTTAAATTTTCTTTTAAAATTTTATCTTTAGTATCCAGAAATTCTAAAATTGTCTCAAAAAGTGCAAAAAATCTTGTCAAACATAAGCCTTTCGACAGCCAGCGTATTTCAGTGTGAACGAGTAATTGATGAAAGTGTTCCTCATTTTCTTCACACAACTGCGGAAATAACCGCGTATTCAACGCGTTGCTTCGGATTCGGTTTACTGCATCAATGACTAAATGAAGTGATTCATGCAATCTAACACTCAAATTTTTAGCAACTAAATGTTGTCGATGGATGACGCAATGTATTGCTAACACCCCTGATACATTTTGTTTTAAATAGCTTATAAATCCACGACAACGTCCAACCATGGCAGGTGTTCCATCTGTAGCTACTGATATTATATTTGATAAAGGAATTGCTTTTTCAAAGAAGTATTTAATCCTTCAAAACATGAAATATTGATTCACCTTTAGTGTCGGTTATCAAAGTTCTTGCGAAGGGCAGTTCTTCGTAGATTTCTTGATTCATAATAAAACGAACATATGCCAATAATAATGCTGCATTATCAGGTAAAGTTGACTCGTCCAGTTGTATAGAGAAATGGGTCGTTTGCAAATAATTACATAAGAAGCTTTCAATACCAGAACTGATTTCATCAACACGTCTTTCAACAGTATTGTTGCTTAAGGGAATTCTTTTAATGATATCAGATGCAGGTTTGTGTAAAACAGTTTTTAAAACCTCTTCAACGGCTGGCAAAATTAACTTATCTCCGATAGTATGCGGTTTTCCGGATTTTGCTATAAGTAACGAGATATTGTAAGACGTCCGCAAACCATCATCATTTCTTTGTGACGTCGAAGCGAACATTCTGTACAGTGTAGGTCTCTTCTGAAATTTATCTTTGAGTGTTTGAAAGTATTTCAAATCTTTCTCTGTTTTATCAGGGTGGCATCTTCTCAGATGATCTTGCAGTTTAGATGGTTTCATAGCGTCATTGCCCAAAACTTTGTTGCATAAAAGGCACATAGGCGATTGTTTGTCCGGCAATGATGGAATGAAGCCAAATTTCAAATAATCAACACTGTACTGTCTACATTTCTTTTTAGATTCGGACATGGCATCAGTCGTCTGTGGGCAAAATTAAATTATTTAAATAAGACAGAAAATCCAGCAGCTGTATATTAAAAATATTTTTTGATTTTTCCGAAAACATTCCATAATTCCAACATCTTGCAACAATTAGCTCGAATTACGGAGATTGCACTGTAATTATATTACCGATTGCTAAAACTTTCAAAAAGAAGCTATTGAGGAGTATTCATGTAATTTTGCATGATTGAATATTTAACTACTAATAACTAAAGCCATGATTGGCGTAATTTATCTATCTTTGCTAACTACGAGTACAAAACTAAAATTTAATAAAAAATAATGTACTTACTTTTCTCCAGCACTCTCAAACAAAATAACACTGACTCACTATAATTTGTGTGATATACTATCTGTTTATATTTTTTAAAATATTTTCTTAGCACTTTCCTGTTCAGGATTCAGGAAACGAATAAACGTATTTGTCCCACATTCGTATTTATAGAGTGACGAATTGAACAAGTAGTGCAAGGTAGCGAAGCTCTGAGACTGCGACTCTCAGGTTTTTACAAGTTCAAAATGTATTGCGACCACAAAGCGAATACCAACATCGTACAACTTACACAATTTTATAAACATATATAATAAATTTTTTACTTCATAGGTACTTTTATAAATAATGTATATGTTTTGATATTATAAGATAGTATGATGTAAGTAAATAGGTACTACCACTATCGTGGACCCCATATTCATTTCATGGACCTCCAAATTTTTTTTGGCTGACGTAGACCCCTTGCAGGTTGTCATAGACCCCTAGGGGTCGATATAGACCACTTTGGGAATCAATGTTCTAAACAAATTCAAACATTTTGCATTTGTGAGTAATTAGCAACAAAAGATGATGAAATATGTGTATAATAACGTATGTTTTTCGAATATCGTAGCGCATTTGTTCAATTACTCACAAATACGAAATGTTTGAATTTGTTTAGAAAAAAAAAACGTAACCTTTGTTTTCCGCATAAAAATAACATTTATCTTTCGGAATGGTTTGTGATTTATATCGGCAAGGTAAGCACGTGTATTTTGCTATTCAATGCTCTTTGAACGAACCCTGTATATTGCTCAATAAACTAGTAGTGATGGCAGGAAAACTGGCGTTTTGCGATAATCAATTAGAAATTCTCAAAAAACTGCTTGACCAATATATTCCAATTTTGTTGTTGTTATTTAGAAGTATGAATCCTACGGACTTGAAGAAATTTAAGTAGTTTTTATTATAGTCGCATCACCAACAAGTGCCAAAACCTGCATTGTGCCTCTTTTTACATTTTTGCTATTATTCGGATCTTTTTATGTGTTCTCATTTTGTAAGTCTCATAAATACCTAAATATCTTATATAAAGAGTTTTTCTGTTCTTGTCAACATTTTCGGTTGAATCCAATAAACACGTTCTCTCATTCTTTGTTGTCTAATAAAAAGTTTCCCGCAAATCTGGTATACCCATTTTATGCGTCCATGTTTTAAATACCCCTTGAACAACTTGCACCAATAAAACCAGACTTTACAATTATTTCGGGGAAATTTGCTAATATGATTAGACTATCATAGCGAAATAGTCAGACTTAGAATACTGCCCCAAATAGGGAGTTGAAGAGAAGGGGCATGCGACCTTAATGAAAGAAAAATATACTGCGGCCTCATTTAAGCAGTGCTGCTACAGTTTTGAAGATTTGCACTGGTGGTATTTTGTAGGGTGACGAGACAAATCTTTTGTATCGGAAATTATGCATTAGGAAATCCAAACAGACTAGACACAAAAAAAGTCCCCAATTCATGATTTATCATGTAAAAGGACGCTCAAACCAACGTGTCCAAACTTCGCTTTAAGAACAAATACACCGATCCCGAACAATGTTTTTTGAAGTACATATATGTAGGCTTCTACTCACCACAATGTTGCAAAGTTGAAGAATCGTGGTTTTTGTAGCAAATACCGATTTGTACTAAATTCAATTTAACCGATAAGAGGCGGTATCACACTTTTATGAGATATGTAGGTAGATGTAAATAGATTACCATGAAAATATTCATGGATATACCGGGTGTTTCAAGTTCGACACTCATCATTGAGATCGCAAGCCGTAAGAGATACGAAGTCGCTTAAATGGGAACAAAGCTGCCTATTTAGATGGCTATCAAAACGCAGCTTAGAAAGTTCCAAAGTATGGGATTGTCCCATAAGGACGCAGGAAAGTAAACGCATATTAAAACAAGAAAGATTGATATTCAAATCAAGTTGGGTACTTTATTTTGAAGGTTCATTTATACCATTTATGTATGAAAAATAATATCGCTCAAATGTTCACCACGAGTGGATTTACAGACGTCCACGCGATGGTCGAAATTTTCAATGACATTTTGCAACATGGTCGGTTCTATGGCATTTATCTCGGCAATGATGTTGTTTTTGAGTTCTTGGAGGGTGGCTGGTTTGTTGACGTCGACTTTGCTTTTCAAATATCCCCATAAAAAGAAGTCCAAGGGAGTCAAATCGCACGATCTTGGTGGCCATGGCACATTTCCTCTGCGCGAAATCACGCGATCACCGAAGAAGGACTGCAATCGATGGATATTGACGTTGGTTGTGTGGCATCCATTCCTTCAAGTTGCGGCAAAAAATAGTCCTCTATCATCACGTGATATCGCTCAGAATTGACGGTAACGGCGTCCCGGCCGCATTTTCGAAAAAGTAAGGTGATGCCTTTTGACCACAATGCACACCACACAGTCACTTTTTGAGGATGCATCGGCTGCTGTTGATACTCACGGGGATTTTCGTTCGCCCAGATGCGGCAGTGTTGCTTGTTTACCGTCCCATTCAAAGTGAAATGCGCCTCGTCGCTGAACATGATTTTTGATGAAGAATTGGCATCAATTTGGCGGTGTTCAAGGAGCCAATCTGAGAACGTTCGGCGCGAAAAATGATCGGCCCGACGCAGCTCTTGCGTCAATTGGATCTTGTAGGCGTGTACATTCAAATCCTTGTGGAGAATGCGGAGCAAACTGGTTCTCGAAATGCCCAATTCTTGGGATCGACGCGTTGTTGATTGTTTCGGATCGTCTCGCACATTCTCCTTCACAACAGCAATATTTTCCGGTGTGCGAACGCTCCTTGGCCGGCCAGAGCCTGGCAGATTTGCCACAGAACCTGTTGCCTCGAATTTACGCACCAGACGACCGATGGTTGTTCCGTTTGGGCGGTTGTTGCGACCGAAATGTTCACGAAGCGCGCGAAACGTGTTTTTTATTTTTGCACCATTTTTGTAGTGCTCTTGAATAACTTTAATGCGGTCTTCAATCGAATACGACTCCATAGCGATCAATGGTAAACATTCAACTAACAAAATGACATGTCGGTGACAGAAAACAAAGATGGCGTCTATGTCAAATTGACGTTTACTTTCCTGCGTCCCTATTGGACAACCCAAAGAGACGGAAAAAACTGAATCTTCCCAAGATTGTTTTAGATTTTTCCTAACTTTGCACATTAACATTACCACCTCTTCACAGACTCAACTTTATTTCTTCTTAAAGACGACATATTGGATTTTAGCATAGGTATATAGAGTTTTTTTATTTTTATTCCAAAAATGTATACTATGTTACATATTGACATTGCCAAACCTTCCGCAGGTATATGTCAGACGTACATTTTTCGAATTACAATTAAATAATCTATTAATCTGTGATAAATCCGACCTTGCGACTTTAAGAAAAAATAATCTGGATGATGGAGAACAAGAAACGAGGTGTCTCATCGCAATTCTAATTATGTTGCCTTGCAGAGGAGAACAAGTAGAGGAGAAGGTGTAAATATGGAATAGCATTTTTTTCGCTCCTATTTTAAGAAATATGATCAGAATTATGCCAAATTTGGGGAACAGGTACTCAAAGGATGAAGACGTATGAATATAAACTCAAAAGTGTAATTCTCTCAATAAAAATTTACAAAAAAATAGTTTGAAAAAAATTTAAAATCACCACCTGAGAAAAGGTGGTGCAAATATGGAATACCTTAACTAAGCTAGAAAATAATACACATTTTTACAGTTTACTTGCAATCGCAAATAAATTCATCTTTTTGACCAGCAGAAAACGCAGCCTGGCAAAACATGCATGAAGCATCATCCTCATTAGGTTTTGTATGTCCAGGCATACTCTCTAAATCACTGTCAGAGTCATCTTCGGAACTTTTGGATTCATCAGAAGAAACTGCGTTCTTTGGACGTTTTAATGTGGTCTGGATTTTAGGTTTTACTATTTTTGGTTTTGGATTTTGAGGATTTCTTTTTGGTTTTAAAGATTTTCCCGAGGACAAGTTTCTTTTAATGCCACAAACTTTTGCCTCTTTTTCAGTTTTCTTATTTATTGACTCATTTAGTTCATCTTTGTATGGTGACGAGGTAACCACAGTCGAACCCGTTACCTTACGTCCTCTGTTAATTTTTTTGCGGATTGTGTTTGGAACTGGAGATATGTCAAACAGTCAAACGAATTCCTTTGTTATAGTGTCGTCAGCTTTTGAGTCAGAGCTTTGCTCTTTTTCTTGGTCAATTGTCTGAATTCTGCATAAGGTTTTAGAACATGAAGGTTGATCGATATCGATAGGCTCGACCCAATCTCTAGAGCAGGATGGTTCGTTAACGTCAACAGGAGCAGTGGTTTTAAGGTTTTCATTGCCAACGGCTGCTTCTTGCAGCAATATAGTAAGCCTTATTAAAAACGTTTCTGTTAAAAGGGCAAATTCCAGTGGCGCGAAAACCATTTGCCGCTATTGCGTAAGTCTGAACTTTTCAATAAGCTCTACCAAATAACTCCATAATGTCAAAAGGGCTCAGAGCCCGTTGGTTGTGGCGGATCCAAATACGAATCTCTTCACTGTAATAGACTTTCAATGGGCCGATAGATGACTTATCCAACGGTTGGAGTTTGTGTAGAGTGAGGAGGTAGACACAAAATAGTGACAAAATTTTCTCTTGCAAGATCAATAATTTCAATATGGCGCGTGTGACTGTAATGACCGTCAAGAACTAGCAGGACAGGGTTCTCTTTAGTTGGTTTAACGTATTAGATAAAGTGACGGAACCACTGTGTAAAAATATGGGATTGTGCCCAATCGGATGGATGTGAAACTCCTATGGACCCAAGAGGAGCTCTTTTCATTAGCTGCATGTTCATATTTTTTCTAGGAAAAAAAACTAAGGGAGGGACGAAGTTTCCACCAGTACTTATACAAAAAATGACTGTAGGGACCCGTTGGCTTCCTTATTGACAATTCTGGATGCCGCTTCCAGGACAAATCAATCCACGCTCTGCCTGGAGAAGATGGATGTTTAATTATTGGGATATAAGGTCATAACATTTGGACTCCATAGCTAAGATATAATCCACTAGTTCCTTCTCTAGCTTTGAACCCAGAATACATCTTCTTCCTAGCTTTGTTACTGCAGCATTGTCTGGAGTAACTGTGTCATCTCTACTAAGTCGAAAGAGCGTTGTTCGTGGAACATGAAAGGATCTGGATATCCCATTCTTTTTTATCTAAATGCCTTGATAGCTCTAGCCATGTCTTGTTCATTGTATTGCTTCCGTCTTTTAGGACCGGAAAAATATTTTCTATAAAGGGGGGTTCTTTAAAAAAATCAATGCGGGCACTTATTCCCAATGCGGGCATTCATTGGTCAGACACCAATAAACATAAAATAAACTATAAATAAAATAACATAAGCAATAAGTCAATATTTTCAACATTTGGCGTCAATTTTGTAAGGGTTAATCTTAAATCTCCTCGGCTAATGATGTCCAGTCTGTTTCTTTTTTTCGTTATGGGATTGGTAACAGCGCTGAACCCCCTTTCCACTAGGTAAGCCTATGGGAAGGAATTTAAAATTTCCTCGCTATATTCCATAATACGGGATAAGTAACGGGTATGTTGTTTTGCAGCCAGAATTGCTGATATCCGTTTTTAAACTGAACCTTAAGTTCTTCGTTTGTACTTAGTTCAGTCAGTTCCTCTTGTATTATGACATTCGTTTCTTCTATGTCACCATATGGATTAATTATCCACGGTGGTATTACCATAGTCAAAATATCCTCAAACCTACATTCAAAATCTGTATAGAGGGCATTTAAATGTTGAACGTAAGTTGAGACGTCGTCTTCCTGGCAGCTTGTCTGTGACAAATTGGGGAACTGAGAAAATTCTCCCCGTCCAATATTTTGCTTCATTAGTTTAACTCTGGCAAGAAACGCTGATAAGATGGACTTTGTTTTAATCAAATTTAAACTGTCGCCTTGTAATTGCAAATTAACCATATTAAATTTTGTAAACAAATCTGTTAAATAGGCGATGTCTGTCTTCCTCTTCTTTAAATTTTCTTTTAAAATTTTATCTTTAGTATCCAGAAATTCTAAAATTGTCTCAAAAAGTGCAAAAAATCTTGTCAAACATAAGCCTTTCGACAGCCAGCGTATTTCAGTGTGAACGAGTAATTGATGAAAGTGTTCCTCATTTTCTTCACACAACTGCGGAAATAACCGCGTATTCAACGCGTTGCTTCGGATTCGGTTTACTGCATCAATGACTAAATGAAGTGATTCATGCAATCTAACACTCAAATTTTTAGCAACTAAATGTTGTCGATGGATGACGCAATGTATTGCTAACACCCCTGATACATTTTGTTTTAAATAGCTTATAAATCCACGACAACGTCCAACCATGGCAGGTGTTCCATCTGTAGCTACTGATATTATATTTGATAAAGGAATTGCTTTTTCAAAGAAGTATTTAATCCTTCAAAACATGAAATATTGATTCACCTTTAGTGTCGGTTATCAAAGTTCTTGCGAAGGGCAGTTCTTCGTAGATTTCTTGATTCATAATAAAACGAACATATGCCAATAATAATGCTGCATTATCAGGTAAAGTTGACTCGT